CCTGGAAAAGACCCTGATGTTGAGAAAGTGTGAAGGCAAGAGGAGAAGAGGACGACAGAAGACAACCTGCAGCCTGACAACATCTTTGGTGAGGTTGGTGAGAACACTGAATGTAAACAATTGTAGTGGAGAAAAAAACTTGATAGATTAAACCGACACCTGTAGTTGTCTGCCAGTAATATACTAGTGCTTCCAACTCACTCTGCAATTGATTTGGTTTCTCACTAAGCATTGTATTTCCACTGTCACCTCCATACAAAGATATATTTCCTACCTCACTGAGATGTGTATCCGGGTGTCCATGGGGTTTCCATGTACAAGTGATTGTGGGGAGAAAATTGCAGAGCTGGCAAATATTGATTGGTAAAAGGGGGAGTATGTTCCTTTTCCTTCACTCCTCCCCTTCCAACTTCCTGATGGAGTCTGACTGACCACTAAGTCCTCCAAGTTTTATATAAATATGTGTAGAATTTGATGTGCACAAATGCTATTTCAAATATAAAGCACATGATAGAACTCAATTAAGTGACATGTTCTGTTTCAATTTCAGTTTGAATAAATCTTACCTCTTAAAAAAAGACGGCAACCGTATTACTAACTTGAGTCTTGCCATTTTCATTCTATCTAAATATGACTAAATCTGGATCCAATTCATTTCTCCTTTTTTCTTTCTCTAGTTGAATGGGTGAATCATTGTAAACACAATTCCCTAAAGTCCACATCAGGAGAAGGAACCATAACTCGGTGACAGGGCATAACATTTGCACTGTAGAATGTTCCTGTTTCAGTGTACAGACCTACAGTGCTTTAACAACATCCCAACAATACTAGTGTTTAATCACATTTTTGGTAGCACTACAGTCCTACACAGCCAGCCCAGTGCTTTTTAAGTACTGCAGCAAGTCTCACAATTAGTGGTCCATATGTCAACTTCAGCTATTTGTCAGTGGCTCACACCTACAGCTGCACTGGTGACTGACATGTAATAGGCAGGGTTTAGAGATGGGTGAGAATTTAATTTCAGTTCATTACTTCCCAGCTAATTCCCCGGACTACCTTAGGGAGCTAACTCTTCTCATTGAGAATGTGATGGATGCTAGTCCCTTTGTGAATGTCTGAAAGCTCTCTTTTATCATAGTTCATGACAAGGACACAAGCAGCTGACTGGACAGGAGGATGTTTGCAGCAGGAAGGAGGAGGGAAGGAGTTTTGATTTTAGACAGAGAGCCAAACTATTTGTTCTGGATCACATTATTTGAAGCTAAAATGCATTAGTTCTTCAGAAACATGAGTCAGACATACTTTTGTGACTGAGCAATCATACTTGCAAATGAAGCCTCTGCTTATATCCTGGTGATCAGTCACAGAACAGTGTAGGCTAATTTGCAAATCATGGGAGATTTGAAGAGCTCTTGCTAAAGCAAACAAGTTTTCAGTACTTAAAGAATTCCTTGCATAATAATAATAGCCATCATCATCATGTGCAGAGCTGGAAGGGACTGAATGGATCATTGAGTCCAACCCCTTTCAAGGAGGCACACTGGGGAATCAAACTCCCAGCCTCTGACACCTACACCACTCAGATGTGCTTTCTGTAATACATAATTCAGTCCTGAATTGGAAGAGAGTATTGTTCATCTTCATGATATACTTGAAATAAACACCTACAAGATGCTAAGGTTTATATTCGAAAGCAGCAAATTGTAACATGGAGCAACACTGACGATGATTGTACTGCTATCTTATGAAAGAAAAAAAATCATTCTAATATCAAATGGGAACTGCCTTTTTTGGGCTGTTCTTAAAAACATGCTGCATTTCCATGCCTATTTGTCCAGAATTCTCACTTGCAAATGATTTTGTGCCATGAGTTGCATATTCAAGTGGGGCTTGGAACACTTATATTTTAAGCAGCTTTAAAACAGAGGAAGGCAAAGTACAGCCTTGGGGCTAGATGCTGTTCCCCAAAGTATGTAGACCCTGGAATTCTCCCTGCTAAAAGAAAGACAGATAGAAAGAAACCTCCCAGAACTAATTTTCATTCCTGGAAACTTCCATTTGTGGTGCTATGCTACAAAGCAAGCTTGCAGGCCCGCCCCCCCCCCCAGATCTTCACCCTATAGAAATTCAACCAGAAATGGATTTTCTAGAGCATTTAATTTCAATTTCTTATATGTTTTGCTCATTTTCAGACCTAGTCTGGGCCCTGATGGTTTATAGGCTACAAAATTGCCCACAAGAATCTCTGAAGTTATTTGCTCCTATTTTAAATCGTGTGAGGCATCCAGAATGGGGAGGGGGGGGAGAAGGTCTGTGAGAGTTTCAAGCTCAGAGCTTCCATGGAGAGGCAAAACTAGTTATTTTATTTCCCTGGAGCCCAAGACGTTCCAGTTATGGGGCAAAATTATGTGTGTTTATTTCACTTACACATCAGTCTGTTGTATGAGCAGTTGTATAGTGTTGTAGGCATCCTTCAGTCTTGGAACAGCGTCTACTGTGGCTGAGAAGGCCAATTCGAGAGTGACAGTCCCTTCCACACTGAGGACAAATACAATCTGTCCCCTGTCGAGCTCCCTGATTTTGCTGGTTTCAGGACTGCCTCTTTGCCTGGGCCTACTGAACAAGTGCCTTTTCAAATTGGGAGAGGCCATGCTGCACCACCTGCCACCAGGCTGAATGCTCAGATGTCAAGGTTTCCAATCTGTTGAGGTAAATTCCTAAGGGCTGCAGATCCCACTTGCAGATATCCGTGTATTGCAGCTGTGATCTCCCTCTGGGATGCTTTCCCTGCACTAATTCTCCATACAGGACATCTTTTGGAATACGACCATCAGCCATTCTCATGACATGCCTGAGCCAAAGTAGAAATTGCTGTTTCAATAATGTATACATGCTAAAAATTCCAGCTCGTTCTAGGACTACTCTGTTTGGAACTTTGTCCTGACAGGTGATACCAAAAATGCATTGGAGACAACGCATATGGAATGTGTTCAGCTTCCTCTCCTGCTGTGCATGAAGGGTCCAGGACTCACTGCAGTACAGGGGTGTACTCAGAACACAGGCTCTATAGACCTGGATCTTGGTATATGCCACTAGCTTCTTATTAAGCCATACTCTCTTTGTGAGTCTAGAGAACGTGGTAGCTGCTTTGCCAATCCGACTCAACATCTAGAGAGAGTTGGATAGTGTGTGAGTTATGTAAAAAGGTACTGAGTAATATTTCCTTGTCCATCTTCAGAAACTTCAGGAAAACTAGCAATCTAGATTTTGTCTAGCAATTTAGCAACAAATAATGCTTTTAAACCAAATTGATTAACAATCTTTTCTCCCTTGGAGTTCAAACTACTCATCTGCCTAGGGCTGGCCATAAAGATATACTTTGGGGAAAAACTTGTGTCCACGCAGTCAGAACTGACAGGATGGGTGAAACCTAAAGGTACATTACACATATTTATTTTCTTTTCAAAGATATGTTCATTATTGGAGATATTCTCTTTGCATTTTCAGTGTGATCACTTTCATCAGATTTGAATCAAAAGACAAAGCAAATTGGTGCAAGACGCATCTGGTGAAATCAATAATGAAACAAATTACTCCTCATAGCATGCTTTTCCTCATATTATTTTGGTACTGCTGAATAATGCATGCTTAAGACAGTTACTACAGCCTATTTACACTAAAAATCTCTTGACAGGCATTTTAATTAATACAGTGAAAAAGAAAAAAACACAACTGCCTCATCTCTTGGGAAAACTGAGCAAATTAAGTACTCAAATACAAGGGGACATGCCTGTTTCCTCACCTTTAAGACAACACATGCTTGTCAGAGCCAATTCCAGAAATTATTTAGCTTGCTTAGAATACAAACATTGCTCTGTGGCAGTACATGGTGTCTTTAAAAGGGATGTTTACATAACTAAAATAGCAGACGAGGTGAATTTTAATGGAACACAATATCCAAGCCTTATTCAAGCAGGGGCTAGTTCAGATTCATCCTCCAAAACAGCGTGTATTATAGAAAGGTGAGGAAGAAGAAAAGGAAGCACATAATTTGTGTTTGTCTTCTTGTTTTATCACACAGCTGATAAGTCTCTCCCGTCACCACCACACATATACACAGCAGCACACTTCCTGACAGTGTTCAGGGGAGGTTATTTATGTGCCATGTCAGTGAAGATAAATATGACTGGAAGCTGCCCTACCAGCAAGCGTGCCTGCTACAATCAGAAGCACCCTTACTGTACGCCTCATCAAATACAGAGGGAGTTACTTCGCATTAAGCAAGCACGGGAGAACTCTTGTCAACTTCATTCTCTCCCCCCCCCCCCCAAATGCATGTCACGAATATCTGCGACATCTCTATCCTATAGGAGCCTTCTTACTGGACACTAGCACCACTCTCTGTCGACCTCTCCTCCCCCGAGAAATAGCAGCCTCCCCACATTTTTCCCGCTTGTTGCATGTACGCATTCACATGCGCGCGCACACACACATTTATTGCTTAACGCGATTCCTCTCTATAACTGTCCCCGTCGGGCAGGTAATATTCTGAGGGGAGCGAGTGTCTTCTCCTACTCAGGGGCTCCCTGAGTAGGAGGGTCCCCTACGGGCTTCTTTGACTTCCCAGCTCCTCCAAGCTGATTCTTCCTCTCCCACGCCCCAACCCCGATGGGCTCCTTCCCTCTGGCTCTTGGACGAGAGGAGGAATCCTTTCCTCCCTCCGGCGGCGACGCTCCCCCTTCCGAGAGGATCTCCTCCTCTCCCGCAAATCCCAGTCTTTCCACACAAACTCTGCCTCTTTCCGCCCCCCCCCCCACGCCACTCCCGCTCCCCCGCAGGTCTTTGCTGGCGCTTTGCGAGGCAACGCTGCCGAAGCCTTCTCTTGGCTTGGGAGCTCCCCTGAATGGCTGAGGGAAGTCCAGGGTTTTGATTCCGTCTCCGCCCCCTTGCTCCCCTCCCCTCCCCTCATCTCTTCTCCTACCCTCCCCCTCCCGATCCTTGCCATTCCCGATGTTCAGGAATGTGGCGAACTGGCTGCTGGCCGGAGGATGAAGGAAGGGATTCCAAGAAACCCGAAAGTAGGTCTTCTTTCTTGCCACGGCGCCCTCCTCCCCCGCGATGCCTCTCTACGGCGGTCTGGTCTTCCCCTCCGGGATTCGCCTCGATCTTTAAATGCACAGCAGCGCACGCCGTGGACATCTGGTGGCCAACAACAACCCTAAAATGCCCCAAGTCCCCGGCGCGGCCGAATAGAAGGCGACTCGCCCGGGCCGCGGCGTCCCCGGCCGTCTCTTGGATGTACAGGTGCCGGAGGCGGGCGGTGAGCTCTCCAGGGTGCTGAAAACTCGGGCCGCTTCTCCCGCTCAGCACTCGGACAGAACTCTCCCTTTGCCCTCCTGGATTAATACATGACTCGGACAGGGCAGCTGGGGAAGAGGTGGTAACCGATGCCTCGCCACCGGACCATGGCCCGGATTAGATACCTGCGGGCAGCCGTCTCGGGATTTTATCTGTGGGAAGCGGCGGTGCTGCTCAGGTGAGTCTCCGCTCCATTGCCCCAGGGTGGACTAGAGGGTCGGGTTTCCTCACTCTTCACACGGAGTGGGACTCAGGGGCGCAGCAGGAGCAAGGATACCTATTCCAATCTCAATGCCGTCCCCCATTCCCCGAAGGCTGCCTAGCAAAGGCAGATCTAAGTGGACATTGCAATGCTGTTGTGTAAGAATCTCCCGCTTCCCGTGACTGTTTTGGTTCTTTTATGTGTGTCTGTGCCCTGCCCGTGTGTGTGTATAACCAATGTTTAAATGCTTCTTTCCCTGTCCACTCTCAAGTTGTTTCGTCTGGAGTTCTCTTTCAGGCTTGTGGTAGGAATCCCCCCTCCAACACACACATATTTAAGCAATGGGTACTGGAACAACGTTTGAGCTACATAAGGTGCCTTCTCAACTAGAAATAACTTTGCATTTGTTATTTTTTATTACTGTAATAAATACATGACAATTAACCCAGTCCTGTTTCCAATGATTACCAGATGCACAGAGAAATTAAACAAATAATTTAATTCTGTTTGTTTCAAAAAAAACAACAACACATGGTGTATTTTGGGGTGGGGGTGGGGTTGCCATCTGTTTGAAGGGAATGCAGTGGGTCTTCCCGTACTCCTGTTTGGAAACCTTTTACATAGAAGAATTAAAACAGCAACTGTTTTAAAAAAGAAGAAGAAACCAGTTTTTGGATGATACATAAGGGCATGCAGCGTGAGTTTCTCTTGCAGAAGTTCTTTCCTTTTCATAAACACTCTCCCTTTTCATAAACACTCTCCCTTAAATGACAATAAACACTAATAATACATATTGTATACATTATTTGCCTAACATATCTAAATTTCCCATGGTTTACTCCACAGTCCAGTTAAGCTAAAGTGTTTGAATCTAAGCAGTTTAGTTTCATAACAATAAATGGGGCAAATACAGACTTAAATCCAACTATTGTGCCTTGAATCACCTATAGGGCTATGAAACATGAGTACAGCCTAAGTGTTAGCCCTGTAAAGAGCCATGACTAGATGAGGATTACAAGGAACCGTTGCAATTTAAAAGAAATTATACTGAGCTCTGGATGAAAACAGCATTCCACAACAACTGAAATATTAGGCTGTTTTTATATTAGGCTGTTCTTATATGCACATACAAGAGACACTAATAGCTTAGATACACAAGAGATACTGTATTATCAACATCTTTATGTTCTAAAGAGATGCAGGAAGGAAAATGATTTGTAAATCACATTGTCTTATACATGCACACTTTAATTAGCTGTGAAGAAAACATGGTGAGGGATTGTTTAAGTTAACAAATATCAGCAGGCATTGTATGTTTGCATGCATATTTTCAAACCAGTGATGTCTACCTTTCCAATTTACAAAATGTGAAACCTTTGTGATTTGTTTAGGTTGCATTCCCAAATCAGTGGAATGTGCAAATACCCTATGGACCACACAGTATTAAGTGAATACTGTGAAATAGATCTAGTCAATCTGTGAAAATACAAATACTTTAAAAAGTCTATTTCTGAACTTGAAGAAGTCATGTACTAAGGAAATGAACTTCCATTCTAAACAAGCTGAATTATCATTATAGTAAACAGTTTAATTATTTTTTTAAAATATGCAGTACTTAAATGCATTGCTGAGCAAATCAACCATTGGTTGGATGGTGCTGGATATAACCAGCTTCAACTCATCTTAGCTTCATTGATGTAGAGGTTATTGGAGAACATCTTTTACTTGGCCATCATCCAAGATACAAACATCTTCTTCCATTTTCTGGTAAAATGGTAAGGTTGTGGCTAAAAGTATTTTTAATACCAAAAGGAATAATGCTACACAATAACTCAGATTTTTAGATCTGTTAAAAAATGTCCCAGATATGACTGGACACATACAATTCACATACTTTCATCTAAAATTTCTAGCTTTTTTTTTTTTTTTTTTGCTCCAGCCAAGCAAATGGAAAATGATCACTGTCAATGTCTGGGAAGCCATGATTTTGCACAAATGTTAGTGACAACTGGACATGACCTTTGGTATGAGACTGACAGCAGGCAAATAAAATAAATTAGGATGTTGAATCTCAAGGTGATGAGTAAAATAGGTGTGTAAAAACCTGCCCCTATAATTTAACTATGAAATTGTGTTTCGTTTGTTTTCATCAAGCCACTTTTTTTACAACCAATTAACTAGAGCATTTTGTACACAGAACATCCTCCAGCAGCCAGCTTGTCTCCTCTAGTTTTCCATGTGGTGCTATAAACTTGTGAATGCACTCCAGTGTAGCATGGAAGGCTGCTGTTCACCATTTTGTGCAACACATGGTCAGTGTTGACACTGATCTCTTAGGATCCACAAGTTTTCCTCCTATGAGCAAGGCAAACTACACTGTATGGGGAAAAAAAAACGCCAGAGAAGAGAAGCAGTACTGTTTTAAGACTATAGGATCCATGATGCAGTGAGATGGAGTGAACTGCGTTAAGTAGAAGCCACTAAGTTGTAGTCTGTATGGAGCCACTGAGAAACAAAATGGACATTATCATGTTTGCAGAAAAATGCACACACATAAAATCCTTGTTGAAGAAATAGCCTATTTTACATTACACTTGTATGAATATTACGTATATTCACCTGTATTAATATTAAAGACTCCTTAGAGTTTCAGCAACTGGAGTTTCTCCCACAGCTTTCACATTTGTCTAGGGAGTTGGGTGTACACACATCCGGCTTTATTAAAAGTGATTATGTCCACCTGATATCTATGGGCATTTTTTATTTTTAACTGGAGACAATTAAAAATTGTGAACCTCATGCCAAATAAGTGGATGTAGCTGTTAATGAATCATGCAGGATTATTACTGGCTGCCTGAAACCTAACCCCATTGAAAAAGTCCATTATTTGGCTGGCATCGCCCCTTCAGAAGTATGTCAAGAGGTGTTCTCAAATAAAGAATGAAATAAGGTGATATAGCACCAGATCCATCTATTTCATGGATACTAACCCATAGCTAAAATCAAGAAAATAAATAAATATTTATTAAATATTAAATAAGAAGAGGCTAGACAAACCTATGGAGAACAAAATCATTCGTCTATTCAGCAGGGGAGTCTTGTCCTGGTGGGAGATGCCCTTAAACATTCATCCTTTCAGCAAGCTCCCTGCTGGATGAATGAGTGTTAAGGGCATCTCTCACCAGGACAAGACTGTGGAGTCTAGATCATTTGAAAGTCACTTAATAGATTTCGAAGCAAAGTCGGAATATCAAAGAATAATCAAATAAAATGGGGCTGCTTGAATATAAGGCAATTTTCCTGTGATTGTGGAAAAATTCAATCAGTGCAGCACTTAGGTGCATGTAATTTATGCCCCACCCTATATGCAAATGAAGAGCTTGTAAATAGCTGAGAAAATGCTATTGAAATAATCTACCTCTCATCAAAAACTGTCTAATTATAGTAACATTTTAGTTTTAAATTTTGCCTATATTTCATTTACATCCATAATTTTAAATTGTTCAGCATTCTTGAAATGAATAAAGAATGATTGTTAACTGACCCATCCAAACACCTAGATAAAACTTTCTGTACATTTGTGTATGCGTGTGCCATTTGCTCCCTTTTCATTCCCTCTATCTTGTCCCAGTGTGGTGCAGTGAACAGAGTGACTGGCTAGGTCTCCAGAAAACTGGGGTTCATGAGCCATGGGAAATCACTGGGGGAGTGGAACTATTAAAAACACTCCTTTAACTTATTAGTATTAGGGATGCTCTAAGTTGTTTCCATCTTGACAGCATAAAACACACATTCTGTCCCACACAGTCAGTTGTCTGTTCCCTATTTCTCACTCACATGACAAACGGTGCCACTGAGAGTATAGTGCTGTATGATGGGAAGAGGAGGGATTCCTGCCAAATACTCTGTGTGTGAGTGTATGTAAACCTCAGAGTTATTCTGAGTGTGCTGCTAACTTTCCTTTTATCACCAGTCATATAGGTGTTGGCTTTAGCTTCCTGACATTTGCAAGGTCAATTTTTGTATTGATATATATCTCCATCTGCATGTATATATGATGGCAATAAGAAGAATGGCCACGCAGATGGAGCCACTTACAACTTAAAAGGGGGGAGGGGCTCATGAAACATATGTTGTCGTGAGATGAAGAATAGGTTTTAGGGATTGAATTCTTCCTGGCTATTTTGCACAATAAGTATCTGTCCTGCTAAATAAGAGGTCACAGGGACATGGTGGCACTGTGGGTTAAACCGTAGAAGCCTCTGTGCTGCAGGGTCAGAAGACCAGCAGTCGTAAGATTGAATCCATACGACAGAGTGAACTCCCGTCACTTGTCCCAGCTCCTGCCAACCTAGCAGTTTGAAAGCATGTAAAAATGCAAGTAGATAATTAGGTACCACCTCGCTGGGAAGGTAATGGTGTTCTGTGTCTAATCGTGGTGGCCACATGACCATGGAAACTGTCTTCAGACAAACGTTGGTTCTATGGCTTGGAAACGGGGATGAGCAGCGTGCCCTTGAGTCGGACATGACTGGACTAAATGTCAAGGGGAACCTTTACCTTTTTACTTTATGAGTCTACCACATGAATACTTAGGAAAAAATACATTTTTGATTAATTGTTAATTTAAAAAGAAATGGTTTCAACTTTCATCAATCTCTCTTTCCTTTCCCATCAGCTGACTTTCCCAACGGGAACCAAGGAAAACTTAGAGCACAGTTTTAGGCGCACTTGCTGGGAATAAGACCCGTTGAATACAGTGGCACTTTGTTCTGAGTAAACATGCATAAGCTAGCAGAGTTCAACTGCAGTCCTAATAACACTTAGGGGAATTAGCTCCACAGAACACTGTTAAATGTCCTGTTTGTTACTACACACTAAAGCACAAGGTAAGAACTTCATTGTTGTCCATCTTGAAGTACAACAGATGACAAAATGTAGAGGGAATAGAGCTCGTACCCCTCAGAGAGAGAAGA